GTTTTCACCCCTATTCTGAAGCCGTTTGTGATGTGGAATCTCGTGTTTTAAGCCGATTTCACGCTAGGTTGTGTGTTTATGTCATATTTCAGGTCCCGGCGTTGGAATCGAGGCGGAGAAACGAGTTCTGGGTCGAAAGGAGCCGAGTTGGGACTAAGGGGGCTGCAGGAGGAAAATACCCGGTCAGGTGGCCAAATACCCGACCGGGTATTAACCAATTTTGGGCGCCCGAGAAGCAGAGAGGGGCCCGGGCACAGCAGTTAAATCCCCGGTCGGGGATTTTGGTGGTAGACCGGGGATTTTCACCTATTGTGGAACGATGCGCTTCAATTATACCCGGTCGAGACCCAAAATACCCGACCGGGTATTTCGACCGGGGATCGCGAAGCAGGCTGTTAAAAGCCTGTTTTGTGCGTTTTTGGGGAGGAGAGCTGGGTTTTGGATCCCAAACACCCAAGGGACGAACCAAAGAAAGAGAGGGCGATTTGAGGGCATTCTCGGAGTGGAATTGGAGGATTTCTTCGCCTTGGAAGCTCGAGGAACAAGCCCGGACTTGAAGACTGATCATCTGAAGATGCTTACTGCAGTCTCTCTCTTCTCTATGGAGTAACTTCCCTTCACTTAGGTTTTGAGGAACCCTAGCTATGTTTGTTTGATTGGATGATTGTATGAGTACTCTGACTTGATAATCTTGAGTTCATATTCAATCTATGCATGTTTTCACGATTCAATTCTGCTTTAGTCGAGATTATTGATTCTGCTTTGATCCTATGAGAGCGAATACCTGATTAGGTCAATAGAGCACCATAGATTGATAGTAGTGAATCGATTGCTTTAGTCGAGGGTTGATTCACTGCTTTGTATCGATTGAGAACCTCATTCGATAGAGGGAGTCTAGTTCAGAACGCCTTGATCGATTGTTCTAGAGAAGGATACGTCCCTCTAGGCAATTGACTCAAGAGGGCCTTGTTCCTTTAGTCGAGACTCAAGGTCTAGTCAAGGATTCTCCGCATTGTGAATGAAAGTGAAACAAGTTAGAGATCATCAATCGTTAATCTGGCTAGTGGCTAGGGGGAATCATACCTAAGTGAGTTCCCAACCTGTAATTAGACTAACTTTAACTGTAGTTTGCTAGAGTAGTTTTAGTTCTTTCAACTTAATCTGTTTTGCTGGATAACGAACTGAAGCTGAGTAATAGTAACTCTAGAGACCCGTGGATTCGATATTTATTACTTGAGCCACTATACTGCAGTCCCTTTCATTGGTTACACTTGGCCATTGTTAGGTGTTGTGTAATAGCGAGTCAATAATCCACCAATCTGCTCTCCAAGCAAGAATACTCAATCTTTCCATATTTAGCCTCCGAAGATTCCTTTGCGTAACAATATAAGTGGAGGAGGTTAGACGGTTGTCGAGTCCAATTGGAAGGTTTGGAGAGACGGCGATGGTTGAGCGTTTAGTACGTAGGCCGGGACACCATTTAGACCTATTTACATTAGTTGCAGCTTTTCAATCCGCATTCGACAAACCAACATCACTCAACATATTCACTAAAAACTTCTATGTTCAAAAATATTGTTGTTTATGGTAGTTATATTATTTAAGTCTATGTCAAGAATTTTGCATCGCTTCTACACATTCAATACTGAAATTCGATGTGCAATATTTGCACCAATGACATTAGGCTTGTGATTTTAAAATTATTCTCATTTTATAAGATAAATAGAAATAGAATTAATTATTAAACTTGAATTAAAATAATCAAAGTATGAAAATATAAGTATCAAATACCAAAAAAATATTTAGGGGAGAGTTAGTGGATTAGCTAACTGTGGTGCAAAATTCCAATGATTTTTAGATTTAAACTTCTTGTATGTTTTTAATTTAAAAGGTTTAAACAAATTTGTTTAGTCTAACTGGTTATGTTTCTTGTCTTTTTTCAAAGAGATCACAATTCAAATCCCATCCCTTATGTATTTTTCCTGTAAATAAAAAAAAATAAATGATTGTGAAGACGAATATACCATTTCTACTTTTACTATGGATGCAAGGATTTTGTAATGGGGGGAGCACCTTTCCCATTTCACTCAATCTTTCCATATTTACCCCTCAAAGAATTGCTCTGGATTAATAATAGAGGTAGAGGAGGTTAGCCGATTGTTGAGTCTAATGAGAAGTTTGGACAGACGGTGATGGTTGAGCGTTTAGTGAGTCGGGGCACTATTTGGGTCTGTTTACATTAGTAGTGTCTTTTCCATCCGCGTTCGGAAAACGAACATCACTCAACCTTTTCATATTTACCCCTCTTAAAAACACATGTGCCCCATATTCACTTAAAAGTTCTGTGTTTAAAAATATCGTTACTTTATAATAGTTATAACAATTAAGTCTATGTTAAGAATTCTACATCGTTTCTACACATTCAAGAGTGCAATTCGATATGAAATATTTGAATCAATAACATTTCGGTTGCTAAACGTGGTGGAAAAGTCCTATATTTTTCAGATTTAAACTTCATGTATGTTTTTAATTGATAATGATCACAAAAATGTGTTTGTTGTAACTGGTTATGTTTCTTATCTTTGTTAGAAGAGACAACGGTTCAAATCTCATTATTGATGTATTTTTTCTGTAAATAAGAAAATAATAAGTGATTGTGAAGTCGAATCTACCCTTCCTACTTTCACTCTGAATGCAGGAAATTTAAAATGGAACTTCAAGTTTTCTCATTTGGCTTTTATTTATTGTGTAGATTGTTTTCCAGAAATACTGTCTGCGAATTAGTGGATGGACATTACATGTAAGAACCCCGCTTCTAGGGTCTCTAGGGACTGATTTTCGGCACTCGCGACAATAAGGGATTTAGGGGTTGAGAGAAAGAACTAGGAATTTATATGAGAAAGAATAGAATTGGGAATCGGCTGAGGCCTTGGATTGGGTGAGAATAGAAATTAGGAGTTGAGAGGAGAGTTTAGGGTTCAGGAGACTTTTCTTAATATTGTTCTTGATTGATTATACGTAAACCAGAAGTACATATTTATAGGAAAATACAGGTAAACCCTAATAAATCACCTAATTGGACTAAATTTCTACTAACCATAATAATAATAATTATCCTACTAACAATAATAATAATTATCCTACTAGAAATAATTATCCTCACGTTCGACGTTCATTTGAAACCTGTAAATTAGTTGAGTTAATGTCGTTGACCTTGTATAGAGGATCTTAATGTCGTTTTAGATAACATGTAGCTTAGGAAGGGGTAGTCTCAAGATCAAAGTGACAAAGATTTGTATAAGTTGGAGTCTTCTTTATCTTAATGAGGCACCAGACAGAGGAATGCTAAAATAACAATCATGAATGGGAATTAGAAGTGAAGTAAAAAGTAAGCGTTGTAAATGAAGAAAGCTATTAGCTCATATATTGGGGTGGTGTTGATAGTGCTTTAGAAGACATTAATTTCAGCAGGGTTGTTTTTGGTGGCAGCCTGTATTGGACATATGCAGGCTCACAGTGGGTGAATGTCCTATTGTCATAGGTCGGTGAACATGGGAGAATCTGAGTATATGAGTGCACAAAAAAGCGATCAGACAGACTTTTCTTTTGTCGACAACAACAGTATTAGTATAGTATTCATAGGATTGATCATGCGAAGGGCAGTATTCTTACGCATTCTAAGTCCCCTGAACTGATGAGACCAGCAGCCCTGGATTATGCGTGTTGCCGCTGTGTTGAGCAAGCAAAGAGTTTCTGAATCTGTTTTAGGCAATACAACTTGTGAATTGTTGATGTCAATGGCAGACAATCAATCATCGACAAAACCTGTTTATAATAGATAACCTTCTATTTCAGTCACCAACATGCTTGTGAAAGCTAGGATGAATGATCCACTGCTCTCGACTGCAACAATAGTTGCATGAGAATCGATATTGGTAAGGAGAAGAAGGAAACGAAAATGACCTACAAGTTTGTCAGTCCACAAAGTCGAGTGTTCGGAAAACCCATCTGGGCGGTGAGGATTCCCAGCTATCCATGTGTGGAGCAGGCGCAATTTCAGAAAAGGAGCTTTGTCCGTCCATGCGAGCCTGGAGAGGACGGTATGATTCATTAGGGGAACTGAATCAGGAGGAGATTATCGGGTAGAGCGGCAGAGGAATTTTTTTTTTGCGGGGAAGAAGGGAAGAACGGTTAAGTGAAGAAGAGCAGAAAAAAGAAAATTGTCTCTCTCGAGAGAAGACGTGTGGAGTAAAACTGGAGGTAGGAATATGAAGGCAGAGAAAAGAAAAAGAACAGGAATGATGGCCGGTGGCATGGGCAACAGAGATTCTGCCACGGGGGTTCATATCAGTGGCATAATTCTGAGAAGGTATGGGGGAGAACAGGAAGGCGTACGATTGCCGAATGGAAGAGACCATCTACAACATGACTCGTACAAAGGATATGGTTGTTTCGTGGAATTGGGGGATTGCGTAGCGTGAAGGAGGTAAATTGGCATGGGCAATTGAATTGCAATGAGCACATGCACAGATGGATGTACGACGGAGATGGCGTCTGAGAGAAAGAGATGGTAAGAAAAGTTACTTCCCAAAGTGCTTCGACCAAACAACGCAAAGAAAACCTTCAGAAACCCGCTAGACAACAGAAAGTGATACAGTAGAAGAAAAAGTTGAACCTAGCTTATATATATAGAAGGAATGCTGGGGATAGAAATTACTACTAGAACTTCAACTTCTGACAGCTTAAACGAGACATGCCTTGGAGCAGACATCGGTTTCCAACTCCAGTTCAACCTCTACCAAAACAGCTGCCCTGAAGCCGAATCCATAATCTTCTCCCTATCATATCCGCGGTCGCCGTCGACCCCAGAATGACCGCTTCCCTTCTCCGCCTCCACTTCCACGATTGCTTCGTCAATGCAAGAAATCAATAAACTTTGGCAACATATCAATGTTTTCCAAATGCATCATCAAAATGGATAAGCTTTATTTTTCCGCCTTATGCAGGGGTGTGATGGTTCAATGTTGCTGGAAGATACGACAACGTTTCAAGGGGAAAAGACGGCGCCTCCGAACTTGAACTCGCTGAGAGGGTTTGAAGTGATCGATGCGATCAAATTGGAGTTGGAATCGGTTTTCCCTGAAACCGTCTCTTGTGCCGACGTTCTCGCCATAGCTTCCCGCAACTCTGTTTTTCTCGTAATCATGCTCAGTTTCTCCCTTTTTACCGCCACGTTAAAAAATGTTATGTAACAATATGGAAAACGTTACAGTTAAGGTGTAATATTTCTACTGTCACGAGGCCCCAGTTGGGAAGTTCAAATGGGGGAGGAAGGACGGTTTATCGGCAAGTAAAGCCGCGGCGACGGCCAGTATACTAGGGCCGAATTCCACGGTGGCGGTTCTCGCGACCAATTTTCAGAACGTTGGGCTTAGTCTTAACGATGTGGTCGCTCTCTCCGGTAACACGGGACTATAATTTTTTCTCTTTTTGTCATAGTTAGAGCAAATACAAGACAATATATTTACAATAGATGAATAATAATATGCAACGGTCGATACTAATCGATTTATCGTTGAAAGAGCTGCCCATCTAGTAAGAGGAGGCTATAATTGATAGTGTTATAAGTTATTTGCCCCATTGTGACAGGTTGATTTTATTTGGTAGGAGCCCACACTATTTAGAATAGCTTGGTGCTCGTCGTTCAGCTCACGAATCTCCGGCGGCGGCGGCTGCTCAGACATGAATTTGGAGTTCATCCAGTGTCTGGAGCAGCTGTGCTCGCAGTCGACGACGACGGTGGGGGAGCTGGCAAGGGGACACCTTTCACGTTCGACAACCAGTACTACGTGAACCTGATGTCGAGAGAAGGGCAGCTTCCGTCGGACCAGGCGTTGGCGTAGCAAGGTGAGGAGACGAGGATGATGGTGGAGTCATACGTGGAGCATCCAGGGCGGTTCTTCAAGGATTTCAAGGCGTCGATGGTGAGGATGGGGAGCTTGGTTAGTGATGTGGGGAACAGTGGGGAGGTCAAGAGGAATTGTAGGTTTGTCAAATGAGGGAGGATGGATTGGATTTAGGGAGTGGAATTATGCAAGAAGGTGGCCATTTGGGTTTACTGTGGTTTTGTTTTTGAAGGACTAAAACTTGATGATTTGGTGTGTGAGTAGGGATTTAAGATTTTATTATGTGTTTCTCATTAAATTTCCATTGTCATTAAGGGTGGCTTGAAACCTTTGATTCATAAAATGGTATATTGCATGAATGTGTGTATTAAGGATGTGTGAGTAGTGGATGAGCTAGGTTGAAGTCAGGAGGGGCTATAATCCCCCTCCAAATTTGAAATATACATAAAACTTGTAACAAATTTAGGAAATAGAGTAGTCGGCAAGGCCTTAGCCTCCTCTCCCCCAATCATCACAGTTTACGTTAGCCCCCTCATTCAAATTCATGGCTCTGCCACTGTGGGTTCTCAGAACTTGTTTGGAAAACATAATAAAATGCATGATTTTACAATAGATGAACTATAGATACTGAATCTCACCTTGTATATTATGTGTTGCAACCGTCCCCTCGGGGGTCCGTCGTCGTCGCGTCGGCATTTTTGGGAGTCGCCATCGATCTTATATGGAGTGGATCGAACACTCTTTGAATCGGCTCTAACCTTAGGGTCAGAACCGAGGTATGGTCTGTGAAAATAAAGTTCTGGGTTCGGGAGTACGATTACGTGTGGGGAAGTTAAGCAACACCCCCACAACGCCCTAAATCGGTACTACTTAAGTTGATAAGTTTTATACGTTGGGTGTATTTTAGAAAATATGTATTTTTGGGATCCCACTGGACCATTAAATGATTTTATCGTATTAGTTGTAATTTAATTATACGTCCACTGACATACAATTTAAAGATAAAGTTAATTGGTTTGTTGGACTCGAACCTTATCAGTTGCCTACGTACCCGTTAGACAGGATCAAAGTCCACGTAGTTCGTTTATATGACTTTGATAATTTTGAATATAATTTTTACCACGTTCCACTGAACGTAATTCTCGTATTATAATTTTCGTTAATAAAATTTAAACTAATTATTATGAAAAGAGAATATAAGAATTTAAGTTACTAGGAAGTATTAAGACGCTAAGTGAAAAAGAAACGAGATAAACTTAATCCACAATTCTACATTTCGTATTGAGAACTTTAAACAAAGAAAAATAAGTGGGATGGTTAAAGTGACAAATGATGTGCCAGCAGCCCAACTGGCTGCCTAACTAATCGGTGCCTTCCCGCACGAGAATGCGGGTTCGAATCACGCTGGAGAAGAATTTTTAATTTCTCGTTTTGGTGCAGCAAAAGGGGAAAGGGTATTTTTGTAATTACCCAAAAACGCGGTGGCATGGCTTCGAAATAAGCTGAAAACCCTAGGGGTATTTTAGTCATTTTAAACGATAGGGTATATATGGTCTCTAAAAACCCTAAGGCCAAGCGGCCGCCCCTCTCTCACCCCTCTCTCGTCTCTCTCACCCTTCTCTCCTCTTCTCTTCCAGAGAGCCGAAATCGAAACCCTAGCCGCCTAAGGAGGGCCGCCGCTCACTCGCCTCTCTCACTTCTCTCACTTCTCGCTTCCTCCTCTCTAAACCGAGAAAGGGAAAACGACCAGCCCCTATTCGCTCTACCTCTCCTTCTCTCCCTATTTTGGAAACGGCGAGGAAGAAGAATGACGTCGCCGGCGAAGGGATCTTCAAGGTTCGTTTTTATTTCTTCCCGTGCGATTTCTACTATTTTCAAATATATTTTTAGGATTTTCGTGATTCTGATCCCTATTCCTTTTTTATTTCCGGACAAACTAAACCGAGGCTGAGATGGGACCTTCGATCTATCTTCCCTTTCTTCGATCTGCTCTCTTTCGTAGAGACGACGAGGATGATGAAGAGATCTGGGTAAGATTTTGTTTGCATGTGGGATTTTGTTTGATTTTAGATTCAAAATTAGGATTTTAATATTTAATTTTGGTTTTTATTTGTGCGAGGGCTTCGGTCGAGGAGAAGGTGGAGTCAGGCGGCGAGGATCCCCGGCGGCGACAGGCCGACGAAGACACAGGTAGGGTTTTTATTTTGTTATATATTTTTTACTTTTGATTTTATATCCCTTCAGTTGATTCTGACTTCTATTCTTGTATTGATGCAGGTCTTAGGAGCAGGCAGATCTAGGTGAGGTTTGTCTTAACTCGAGAGATTTAATCTAAAAAAAGAATTTTATGGTTTATAGATTCTGGAATAAATACCAGATCCCGCTTTTTTTTGGGAAAAATCGTTATTCTGTGTTTTAGGCTCTTAGTATTTTTCTTATTAATTTCATAAGAACAAAGTAGTTTTCGGCAAAATCTTAATAATTAATGATCGCGGCCACTGCTTGCAATCACTAAACTAAACTAAACCAAAGGCTCCGAAAATCTTATTACTACTGGTTTGATTGGGATTTTTATGAACTTGGCTAGGTATGAGCGTATGATTATTATGAAGTTTCTAATATGTCGAATTTCAAAACAGAATTAGATTCCGAGTTTTTGATAGAAAATAAGGCTATATGCATATGAGCTTTTGATTACCTGTAAGGTATTCATCGCGTTTGGTTTGAAGCTTAGAATTCATGGATTTGCTTCTACATAATCTAAGTAGTAAAAATGGATCTTGGCGTAATAAAAACAAAGATGACTATTTTTGGCCTCTATAAGTCGCAGCTACTACTAGCGATTCTTACTGAACTATGGTTGATTTGCTAATCTGAAGTTTATTATGCTAGAGGGATTTTGGTTGGATCTGAATCCGTAATAAATTATAAGGTTTCAAAATGAACAAGGGTTTTGGATTATACTGAACTATGGTTGATTTGCTAATCTGAAGTTTATTATGCTAGAGGGATTTTGGTTGGATCTGAATCCGTAATAAATTATAAGGTTTCAAAATGAACAAGGGTTTTGGATTATTCTTACGACCTTGTCGATTTTGTGGTGTTCTAATATTTGGGTTTGGTTATGGTATGATGGTTATGTAATTTCTGTGTGTTTATGGATATGGTATGATGGATATGGAATTTCTATGCTTTTATGGATATGTGGCAGAAATGGTAGTTCTAGAGGGAAAACGATTAACCACCATTCGGTAACAACTAACAACGATATATTCAAGTTGTTCGTGATAGGAACAAATTGAACGATTTTGGAACATGTTAGCGATGAAATCAAGCTAACCATTTTGTAACAATGATATAATCAGGTCGCATGTGATAGAAATTTAGACGAACATCGGAATAAGTGTTAGCGATAAGATAAAGCTAACCGTGTTGTAACAACGGTGTACTCAATTTTTTTTTGTGTAAACGGATATTGTACTCAAATTGTCTATGATAGAAATCAAATAGAACAATGAGGAAGATGTTAGCGTTAAAGATCAAGCTAACAATTTTGTAAATGATGATGTACTCAAATTGTTTGTGATAGAAATCAAATGAAACAATGAGAAAATGTTAGTGATAGAGATCAAACTAACAATCTTGTAAAGGATATTGTACTCAAATTGTCTATGATGGAAATCAAATAGAACAATGAGAAAGATGTTAGTGATAATGATCAAACTAACAAAGGATAATGTACTCAAATTGTTTGTGATAGGAATCGAATCAAGCATTGAGAAGACGTCAGCGATAAACATCAAGCTAACGATTTGGTAAAGGATATTGTACTCAAATTGTTTGTGATATAAATCAATTCAAACAATGAGAAAGACGTCAACGATAAACATCAAGCTAAGGATTTGGTAAATGATATTGTACTCAAATTGTTTGTGATAGAAATCAATTCAAGCAATGAGGGAAACGTTGTTCTCAAATTATCTATGATAGAAATCAAATAGAACAATAAGGAAGATGTTAGTGATAAAGATCAAACTAACAATTTTGTAAGGGATATTGTACTCAAATTGTCTATGATAGAAATCAAATAGAACAATGAGAAAATGTTAGTGATAAAGATCAAACTAACAATTTTATAAGAGATACTGTACTCAAATTGTCTATGATAGAAATCAAATAGAACAATGAGAAAATGTTAGTGATAAAGATCAAATAGAACAATGAGAAAATGAGAAAATGTTAGTGACCAAATGTGACCTGTTTCAGTAATTCGAGTGACCAAAATTGATATTAATTTTTTCTAGTGACTAAATATGACACGATTTAGTAATCTCAGTGACCAAATGTGTCATTTACCCAATTGTCTATGATAGAAATCAAATAGAACATGAGAAAGTGTTAGTGATAAAGATCAAACTAACAATTTTGTAAGGGATATTGTACTCAAATTGTCTATGATAGAAATCAAATAGAACAATGAGAAAAATGACAGCGATAAGATCAAGCTGATCATTTTGTAAATGATGATGTACTCAAATTGTTTGTGATAGAAATCAAACGCAACAATGAGAAAGAATGTAAATGCGTAGTGGTATTTCGCATGAAAAGTCTTCACGTGCTTTTTTACGAATACTTTAGAAATTTAGGAAATGTTTGTGATGCATAGCAAGTCACTTTGATGTATAATGATGTTATGCAGTGAGTATCGAAATGATTTTGACAATGATTGTGTGATGTGTCATGCAAATGATGTCGTGAATGTTAAGTGATATGATCTTTTGGAAATCGGGTATGCAAATATGCTGTTTTGTTTTTTTCGGTTATTTTGTTTTTACTCGGGGTTCCTTTAAATTGCTCGTCCTCTAGGAACTGCCATTTCCTTTTGATCGACTTGATCCTTAGGTCATGTTTATATTGGAGTGACTTTCAGCTTGCTCGCTTGAAACTTATCTTCGCGGTGGTAGTTGTACGAGGGTATACTTTGTGGGTGAGCAGGA